AAGCCCATTTTATTTAGGTCATGGGTACAAGTGATTTTCCAAAAGAGAAAAATATTCATGAATTATGTATAGTCTCATTATAAGTGATGTAAAATTATTGGTGTATCAAAACATGTGAAATTAAAAAACATATATGTATTTAACATGTTAAGAGTAATATTTTCTTATTTTTTATAATGTAACAAAAACTTGATAAAGGACTACTCATATTCAATAAACTAGGATATAAAATAGATGGAAAATGCTTCACAAAAAACATATCAATACAATATTTAAATTTTAAAATAATATTTATAAAGATCTTTTACATGAATCTTTTCTAAAACAAGTTGAACTTAAACTTTATAAAATCTTACCTAACTTAAGTCATCCCATTTCCACGATACTATATAAAGGAGATTAAATAAAACAAAATATTCACGATTTATAATTTTATTTAAAACAAAAAACACATGTAGATATCATCACCAAATCCTATAAAATAAGAATACAAATTAATCAATTATTTATGTTAATAAACAAATTCAAATTTAAGATAAAACTCAATTATTTGTGTAGATTATAGAAAAAAATATTAAAATAAGGAAGGAATAACAAGTTCAACTTCTCGATAGGGAAGAAGGTAATCTCTTTAATAATTATTGTCGAAGATATGATTTTTTTATTTAAAATAAATTTATTAAATAAACTTAAAATTTGAACAATTATGTATTAAATTTGAATATTTTTATTGGAAATTTTTTAATTCCATGTATGAAATATTAAGCACATATTTTTATTTGTAGATTTTCATCTTATATTAAATTTTTTATAAAATATTAAATTATAAAAGTTACAAAATAATATAATAAGAATTTTGTTGAAAGAAAATAAAACTATAAATCAACGAAACAAGTTTTTTTTTTTTTCAAGACTAGCTCAATTTTGTGATTCTTTAATGAAAATGAATCAACCTTCAATTTTTTTTTTTCACAAACTATGTCTGAACTTCAAATCTTCAACTAGATTCAATTCATTACAGTTGCCCTAGAAATTATAAGGAAGTTCGTGTTTGGAAGGTGAAGGGGGAAGGGTGCTATTGACTATAAACAGTTATGGGTGTCAACAGCATGCTATTTAAGGTCTGGGACCGAGCAATAAATAGGCAAGGGTCCCCTCTCTCGAGGTCAACCACGGCTATACCTTCAAGTGTTCTTCTGACAAATATTAAGTTTGACCCTGCCAAAATATTTGAGTGACGGTACAATAAACCTACCAACTAAAACAAAAAGCTATAGAGAAGTTCTTGATACATTAGCGTGAGCCACATTTTGGCCCACCAAAACCCACTATATTTTATCTCAGGCATCAAATCATGATGAAGACAAGATCGCTTAACCTTTGTTACACTAGAAACTGAAAGCAAGATAAGTTGGCTTTAAACTATAAATAGGAGGTACAATAAAGGATTATATAGTTAGACACTTTCGTTGTTTAAAAATTACTGACATTTTTTTATTCAGCAGTTTAACTTTGACTACAATTTAAAATGTCTACCACTTCAATTCTTACCTTCATTCCTGCCAATATACAGTCAGCCAGTAGTTATTCCGATAGATGAAGGCTTTCTGGTCTACTTGGTTTAAATTAGTTAAAAATATTTGTGTTAGATAAAATAAACTTATCTCTAAAACTCAAATTTTTTCTACAATCACAATTTAATAAATCAAACATGATATATGTTTGAAAGTATCCAATTCACACAAGCTCTTAGACTGATATTGGTGCAAGTGGTTCTCTCCATATCGATAAAGACTGACCTCATGAAACATTTTTGGATTTTCATCTTCACACCTTACAAAGATGGGGTATATTTAGATTGCAGATACCCAGTGTCGTTATTATGGGTCCCCATGTGAAGTCTATGCACAAAAATGAATTAGTTAGCCAATAGTACGAGTATCAAATTCATGTGAACGATTGAAAGCAACCAAAAAGCCTACAGTGCCACTCAGCCAAACTCTTACATCACCCCATTCACACTGGTAGAGCTTTGAGAATAGCTCCTGAATTGCTCAGTTTTCTATTATTCCGTTACTTTCATAAAACTGTATCAGTAGACCAGTTGACTGAATCATATATCAAACCTGGCATAATGTCATCCTTGACCAAGAGTAGCAATTTAATATTCATTAGAAACCGTCCAGATCTACGACTCTTTTGAGGAAAGATAAGATGACATTGACATCACTAGAGAGCAATTGATTGAGATGTCTTGTCCCTTTTTATTCCGCGTTGTTTAGACGATGGATTTCATTCACAAATGGAAGCTTTCTGTGGGGCCTTCAATCATCTCTCTGATCCATAATTCTGACTCAAATTCGGCTTACTCAGAGACAACTAAAATTAGCATCAGCAATAGAAACTTAAATAAGTAAAAAGCTAATTGCAGAGTAAAATATATCCATATGATCACACCAAACAAAACTTTCCCATCAACCTAATATATGGGCACTTTCAAAGAGACCAAGACAATAGCCAACATAAACATTAAAAAGTTCCAACTAGTGTCTACTATGGTGAAACCGGAACTAGAGACAGGGAGAAACCCATAATTCATCTGAATTATAAATTGGCTAGAGATAAAAATCACACTCTAAATAAAATGTATAAGTGCTACACTTTAGATCTAGATGAATTAAATGATCCATTTTACTATTCTTGAGTAGTTGGAGCAGCAGCCTGTTGAATTCTCCGTTGATGAACATCCCAATTATACACTCGTGCAATTGTAACCTGATAAAGTAGATATATATATCAACAACTAAAACTAATTATTTTCAAGAAACCTGTGAAAAGATTGGGTGATTGATTACTGATACACATTCTCAACAACATTTGTGCAAAATACAAAAAAGGAGTTGAAGTGTCTCAAATGCATGGCATAAAGATAAGATGTGCATGGTTGATACGAAAATGAAAGGGTAGAAAATGCTGAGTGGACATTTTTGTACGCTTCTTTTTTAAGAAAACAAGGGAATGAATGGAAATGAGCCAAATTTTTTCATTGTTTGTTTGTGAGTGTATTTTTCCATACTCTAAAGTTCCAAATTAAATTTTCGTTTGTCTGTTTTCCATTCCAAATTAAAATCTCTCATTTTCTTTGCCCAAAATTACCCAGTGAAATAAAATTTTATATCAATTTTCACTTCCTTTTTGTTTTATTTTTTACTTTCTCACATTCTATTCCTTATATGTCAAACCGGTTCCTGTGAGCCAACCCAACTCAGTACAGGTTCAAGTCCGGTTGGTGGTACATATTTTTAAGGTGGATGTGCAAAAATATAGCTATAAAAATTATACATCGAAGTTAGTTGGTACCCCTGGAATTACCTATCATTTGCAGTACATAAAATATTTTAATAAAAAAAAAAATTCAAATACTAAACTCTTTCTATAAGAATCCCTAATAATCTAATTATCCTACCCGTACCTAAATGTAAATCAGTGAAAAAAAGAAAATATTCAGTGATTCGACTCACCTAACTCACTCTAATAATCTAAAATAAATAAAAGTTAGAAAATAAAATAAGTCAATCCACATAATTCATTAACCCAGTGGGATGTACTGGGCTGCAGAATCTGAGGCTTACTAAAAATTGATTCACGTTAGGCTAGCCTATCTTTAGCTAAACCCGCAGTCCACCCATGTGAGCCGATCGACTCACTTTACACCCCCTACATGCTGCTATACAGGTTCGGTGTTCTTATTGTTTATTTGCTTTTAATGGGAAGGTGTGGAAAATGCAGAGGCGTATGGAACCCTCTATAGCTAGCAAGCTGACCTGCGTAATTGTCACCTGGTCCCTCAAGAACTGTAGATCAGCAATAAGAACTTCCAAACTGGCTCTAGCATTATCCAGGTTCTTCTGTAGAAGACCCGTAGCCTGAAACAGAAAAATATATTTTTTATATTGGAAAACAAGGAAACAAAAAACCAGAAAGCACCTAAACACTAACATATGAGTACCTCTTCTAATGAATATTCAAGCATAACATTTGCTCCCAGCCACAAACACACGGAATCAGTTTCTTCTATGCGTGCTCGTGAATATATGCCTTCTGATACTTCAAAATCAGTAATAAGTTCCTGTATTTAAATTCATATATAAATCTTAAGTTTGTAATATAACCAATAGTTTTCACTTGCAGTAAATACTTTAAACAGATTATTAGAAATAGAAAGGCTGTATGAGCAATCGATCAAAATTAAAATTTTAATCATATGCAATATGATGAAAAATTAATTGAAAATAATAATTCGGGACTCCACAGCAACATCTGAGCCTGAAATTTGGGAAAGGGGGGGGAGAGGAAAGAGACCAGGATTGGAGGGATAGTGATATCCAAAACTGCATTCCAGAATCACAGCAGAGTGAATAGGATGAAGAAACTAAGTTATATAGAATTTAGATGAACAGGGCTGTAAGTGACTGTCCAACACTGTACCAAACAAGCATTTATTAACCTTCATGCTTTATGATTATAGCTCTTTACTCATGTCATGCACCTATGTGCAGAAATGCTGAGTGGTAGATATCTGTTCAGGACACAATTTCACAAATAAAAATGAAAACCTAGCATGTAACGAACAAAAGCTTGTTGTTGTACATGAATATCAGTCCAACATCTGTCCTTCCAAAAGGTTTCTTTTATAATTTTTTCTTTTATTCCTTTGCTTAGTCTACTGTAGTCTTCCTGACCCAAAAGTAGACAATTATGCACAAATTTTGCATGTCCTTGTCGTTTCAGACCTACCAGATTTTACATATATGAAGGTACTAGTGATGGTGCTCGTCAATCCTCCATAAAAAGAAAAGACAGATACACAGGTTTATACCAAACGCCTAATGGCAAACTGTGTTTGGTATCTGCAAGAATCTAACATGTTTGAGCATATAATGTGAAGGCATTAAAGTACAAGCAAGAACATAATACTCTCGTATGTGTGTGTGTCTAGTCTAGGACTGCTTCTCTATATCAGGAAAAAGAATGATCATGGTATCAATCTTATAATAAGATATGAGGGATGATCGCAAAAGCATGCAGACTCCAGTAGCTTGAGATGTGGAATCAACTATTCGGGGGGTTGACAATAGACCAAACAGACAGAAAGAACTTTATCATATAGTATAAACCTAACATAAAAACTATAACGAGACATTCTATATAACTAGAAAATTGAAATATTCAGCAGCAATGAAGCCTAACAATTAAACATAGGGACCTGAGCCATCAACTTTTAATGGAAAACAGAAACTTCTCCGTAGCTGCCAACAAGAAAATAGCGGATATAACTAAAATAGGTCATGAGCCATATTGCTCACATACTATTGGGGAATCAGGAAGTCTTGAGGACGTAGCAACAAAAAAAATATCATGGCATATTGTGTAGGGTCAGCTATATGTATTCACAGAATAAGATGCATACAATTTCAGATTTAAGGTGTTTGATACCGGTCAATCTGACCATTAATATCTTGATACACTTTTGTTAGCAATAACTATAAGTATTTTTTACCTAAATAACATTTACTATTATTATTTGTTCAGATAAAGTTTGTTATAGAAAATCAGGCTCCAAACGAACCTCACCAGTACCCTTCTTAGCTTGCAACGTAGCAACAATGTCTAAGCACTTTTCAATATCTGGTATCTTTGCCTGACAACAACCACAAAAAAAAAGAAAAAAAAAAAAAAAGTGTCACAACAATAGGTTGATTAGATGAATAATTTTATATTCAACATTTTTTACCAAAATAGAAGAAAAAGAGAGCATATTTCTTTGTTTTACTTGAAGTTTTAAACAGGCAATTGGTAATAAATCAATAAGATTTTTTAACTGGCTCTACAGTTAGGAAAGACCAAAATTCAAAATAGATGACAATTTTAGACTGGTGTTAAACCTTTTAACCTACACAGCATCAATGGAACTCAACTCAGACATGAGATGTGAACCCAACTGTTTGTTCTGTTTACAGCCCATATATGTTTCAAAAACTATAGCGTGAAAAGTCATACATGGCACAAGTCCCAAGATGAATAATATTAATCATGTGTGACAGAGAAGATAGCTTGTTTGATCCCATCTAGCCGCAGCCTAAATAGTCATAAAAATGTCAAATTCACATTTGATCTTTGACATATCAAAGTTCTAATCGGGCGTATTAGTTCTAACTACTTAAAATATAATAAGTGTTTCTTCATCTTGTCTTCTTAGCCCACAGTCAAAATATCAACAAAACAATAATAAAATAAAATTATATGTTTGCCTTATTGTGGTTAATCAAGGATATATCATAAGTATAATCTATTAGATATAGAAGGAAATGAAACCTGAAGATCCCTTTGCTGAGCAAGAAGCTTCATTTCTACTACCTTGTATTGCTGAAGTCTGCATGAAAAATATGATGGGTCATAATTCATACAAATACTAACAGAAGTGCATTTCACGTGTAAACTAGAAATAAATTCACACATAAGTGTTCCTTTGAGTGTCCAAATGAACTTTTGTTTTTGCAAGCATCTCAATGCTAAAGAAACTTGTGAAACTTAATTTTCCTCAGTAATTAACACATTGGCAGTATTTAGTAGACGGTTTAGAATGAAGACCAGTGTTATAAATGGCAGATGACCAAAATTCTGCCAGATACACGCGTAATTGCAGCCTATGGAGCTTCCATAGCAGACCTTCCTTCACAAATTGCAAATGAAATTTGGCTAAAGATCCACCAAACCATTCCACCGCGGTGTTTATGGTGTCACCATTTAACTACGACGAGGACATATAATTCGTATTCCATGTTTGGAAAATTTTAAAAAAGAACAAAACTGGATACAGTGCTGAGAATTGGCACATTTTGGTTTAACTAAAAAGATAGAAACCAAGGAGAATAGTTCAGATCACTACCATACGTACCATTCAGTTCATTAGTCAAACACATCATAGGCACAAAAAAAGAGTCCAATCCAAAACTCTGGTCCATTATGTGGGAGAGTCAGGGAGAGTTACAGGACTTAAGCACCACATGAAATAGCTTATTCTATTCAATAGGGAACCCCTAACAATGTTACTCCCTTGAAGGGCCAATGCCTGCGATGACTTTGACTCTACCGACACTAACCTAATCGCAGCCATTTTCTCTTTCACTGCTTCACCTACCTATTAGTATTGATTTTGTACTTTGATCCGGTTTATAGATAGTCCTTTCCTTAGTCCAACTCTTAATAAAAGCACCAATTGACAGGACTAAGCACAAGGGTCCAACCCAAAAGACTAGTTCATTAAGTGAAAGAGCCTCAAATTTCAAGTATCATAACAAGCACCTTATTCTACCCAAAGTGGAACTCCTAACAATGGCTTGATTATACAAATTACACACTTAGTGAATCTAAAGAATGACAATTTAGGCATCATGCATTGATATGTTCCAAAGATCTAAAAAGGAATCACATGGATTGCAGCCATATGAAAAACTGCCTTGTTCATGAACTCCACTATCAGTGGTGGATCTTCTTGGGAACTGAGGGGGTTCATGTCAAAATTATGTAACTTACATTAGTATTTATAATTTTAGTCTTCCAAACTTAATGATTATTAAGTATATCTATATGTATATTTAAAAATTTAACCTCTTATCTTATCATATTTTTTTACCTTTTCATATTCATTTATTATTTATTAATAATATATTATTTGTCTCTCTAAAACCAATGATCAAAATCTACCACAGCTAACCATTGATATTTTTAGAAAAGAAAAAAGACTATAAATTCAGGTAGCTTGTTTGAAGTTTATAACAGATTATTTATCCAAAACGCACACCATTCAATGTTTCCTGATTTCAAGGTAATAATTCGTTCAATGTGCAAGAATTTTCTCTCCACATAGCCAACTTCACCAAGTGGGACAAGGCTTTGTTCTTGTATGCACAAATTTTCTCCCCCATTCCAAAGTCCAGACCGAAAGATTCCCAGCCCAACACTAAGCAGTATAAAAATCACTCATATTGATCTTCTTCAGCTCACATTCAGCTGAGTTTGTTATGTCTTTCCCTACCTATGCATAAAAAGTTCATTTAACATTCAATTAATTTCGGAAATACCTACCAACTCACACTTACAAAACTCGCATCAATTTGTGTAAATCCATACACATTCTTTTGAAAATTTTATTACTTCGTATGCACCATCGACTATCCCAATGTCACAAATCCCACATACACTTCTCAACCACGGTCAAATCTTAGCACATTTTATCGAGTCCCAAACCCATTTATAAAGTCAAACTACAAGGTAACACAAAAATGCAGATTAACAAGCTAAGAACTAACTCAAACAACAATTTGGAGATAACTACGACACTGATGCAATCCCAAAACTCTACGAACGAACAATAGAAGCTGATTTTTACTATCAAGTAAAGCAGAGGAAAATAGCAAGCAGATCCATAAAATTTCAGGTTCCGAGAATGTCGAAAATGAGAAAGTGAAAGAGAAGAATGAAGATGAAAACCTTTCTTGGAGAAAAGCGAGGGCCGAACCAACATCGAGGCCCGATTGAGTGAGGTAAGTTTGGACATCCTCGACGAATTGTGCCCCTGGGATTCCCCTTCGCTCTGTCAGCGCCGAACCTGGACCTGAACCCGATGTTGAAGACGAAGCAGCCATTGTTGATGCACCCACGCAGCAGTACACCACACGACGCTTTATCAGTTGTCGTTTTAGTTTGGGCCCAAGAGTGAACTTCTACCGGGCCACGACCAAAGCCCATTACTTTGGTTCTTTTTCTCTTCTTAAAGTTACTTTTTGCACCACCCATTTTCTATTAACATCATTGTTATATTATTTTGAAAATCTTATTTTAAAATTTAAATACATCCTTACAGAAGTATAAAAGAAACTCATACACTTTAAGAAACGTTTGTTTCTATGAACACGTTTGTCTTATATCATTAATTTTTTTTAAAATAGCTAAATTTAAAATTATAAGTAAAATAAATATAGAAGAATGAAGTAAGAATAAGTATTTATTCAACAAGTATCTAATATATACATAACATATGTAACTTTTTATACTTCTCCATGGATAGCATGTCATTCTCACTATTTTAGATAACTCAATTATTTTCAAATTAATCTAATAATTATAAAAAAAGCTTCTTTTTGAACTAACCCCACAACCTATCAACAATAATACTCTTACTATTTCAATCATTTAGGTTAAGAAATTAGTACCAAAATCAATTAAAAAATAATAGTGGAAACAATTTGAAATGAAAAAGAGAGTTGACGAAGAGAACAATTACACTATCACGTGGAGAACTTGAATTCCTCTCCAATAATTCTTGATTGCTCTCAAGATTGCTATATGAGGCAAATTTAAGGGAGTTCATCTCCCACTTTATGTCAAATCACTTATATATATCTAGTAACTCAGATAACTTGTACTTCAATGCCATATAAAATTCATTTTTTTATGCTTTATTGTCTTGTACATTGCTGTTAAGTATCACGTTTAGATTAAATATATTAAATTGAGAGTGAAATGAATAGCAAAAAAAGTATAAAAGTGTGAGATATTAGATGAACTTTTTAAAGTTGTTGAGTTTAAAAGAAATAGTTTTTTACAGCAAAAAAATAGTTTTTAGTTAAAATGCTTAAAGCAGTCAAGATGATTTATTTTAAAAAGATTTAATATCTTCTACTACATTTGGTTTTGAGAGAAATAACTCCAAGTTATTTAAAAAAAAAAACATAGAATTACTTTGTTTCTGCTTCTATTTTTAAATAAATTTACCAAAACATATATTAAAAATGAAAATAAGTAATTATTTTACTAAAAAAACTATTTCTTTTTTCTAAAAAAATTCAAACAAACATTATAGGTGAGAATGAAAAATTATACCAATATATTCTGTATAGTAACTCTATGAGTGATTTTGGAAGAGAAATCAACTTGTTCATAGCTTTAAAAGAAGGTTAAAAAAAATGTTGTGGTTCTCACTTTAAATGTGCATGGGTGTCCTTACATGATATTATGGATTTCATCTTGTATAAATTTATATTAAGCTCGACAAAATGGTTTAAAGAATTATACTACAAGTCCTGAACATGTTAACATCATGGTTGGTGGCATATGAAAAATGGACAAATGAGAAGAATATATTTTAGTTGTGTCACCAACACAATTTCATTTGGTTCCTTAAAACAAAAAAAAAAAGGTCCTTAACTGCTGGACTCTGTCTCTCAGATATCCCTTTCTCGTTTCATTTTGATTGGAAGAAAACCACGCTCAATGTTAAAAGCCACAATTGAGCACCCAAAAAACCCTCATCATATTAGTATATGATTGTTCCATCATTTGCAATAAGGTGGCGTCATGATGTGGTTGAAAAATGATAAGACTTAAAATTAAAGCATAACTTTGTCCATGGCTTTGGTAGCACAAGGGAATAATGTTATATCCGGTGTTGGATTTGGTTTACACTAAGTTCAATGGACATCCTTTTCTCTTGGACCATGTGCTTAATTCATTGCACAAACGTAGCCTCCAAGACTAGAGAGGTTGCTTAACCAAGTTATGGGTAAGTGAGAAGGATCATAACCTAATAATTTCACACTTTATGACTTCACAATGGCGGCTACTGACTCATGTACACATTAACTCTTCCATCTACAAATGAACTTATTGCCTATTGCCTATTCCCCCATCATATTCTCTCCATCAAAGGTTCCACCAATTTTTTTATTAATTTGTGGATCTGATGTCAAGCCAGAAAGAACAAAGTGGTTAAAGAATACAAAACACGTGGTTAAAGAAGAGGGTGAATACACAAATATTTTAGTGTCGTGAAACATAATATGCATGTTTTAGTGTTTCTCTATATGCTTATGTCATGGCCATAAATTTTATTCTTCTTCTTCCCTTTGGATTAAACATGGTTCATGTTCATGTCCTTAAGGTCAGCCAACCAAAATTGACTTGGCAATCATGTAAGCAACAATGAGATTTATTATTGGTCATGTCACTTTTGAATCAGGCTAAAGAATTATTGCTTATACTTATCCACTTCATTTCTACCACACTTTCTCATTATTCATCATAATAATAATTTTTTTGCTGTGAAAAAAAAAATGTATGCACATGGATAAGGTTTCATCATAAAATTAATTTTTAATATAGAGTAACCTAACATATATTTAAACTATACTAAATGATATGAAGTAGATGATGTAGATGATGTAGGACATTCAATACATCTTCTCCAACGAAGTTTATTGGACCAAGCAAAAGTTACTTTTGACCTAACTAACCATGACAATAACCAGAAAAATATCATATTTTGATTATGATACTATGTTAAAATTTCATCATAAAATCAATTCACAATTCACAATATGTAAAGTATCTGTTATACTATATAACACGAGGCTGTGATCTAACACTTTCAACCCACGTAACGTACACATGCAGTTTCTCAGAGTTTGAATATATGTGGGTGAACAACAAAAAGTAATGTGAAGCCTTGGTTTGGTGATTAAAAAGGATAGAGAAAAAGATAGAACATAAATAATGATTTTTTTTATTATTTTGTAATAAAGCTTTTGAAAACGTCATGATCAAGAGGTCATAATGCTTCACGTACAAGACTGTGGCTTCATACACTTAGATTTGTCAAACCATTCTACAGTTCATACCAAGTCACATTCTAACCAATCTGAACCAAAAGACGAAGATCAGTGGTTAATTATGTAAAAAAAAATAAAAAATGATTCGTGTACCATTTAAAAAATCATTTCAAATATGTTGTTAAAGATTTCGAAAATGTCACAATCAAAGAGACTATAATGCTTCACGAACACTATTCCTTGTTAAGAAAAGGGTGCTTCGTAAGTTTGGGTTCAAGTTTGATTTAACTCAGCTTTCATGTATATATGCACAGGAGCACTATATCACATTAAAAAAAAAAACAATAATTAAATATAATTGGTTTAGATTTGATTTTATCCTAAATCAAACCAAACAAATCACCATATCTATGTAGCATCAATCCAATTATTACTGTGATATATTGATATCTTCTTCAACGTCGAAGGATGATTGTTCCGTTCCAAGGTTGCAAATTGAGGATGTTGTATTCATTTAACAATATTAACTAACCGATAACATGATATTAAATTAAATCTACAAATTTCTTACATATTTTGACCATTGCCTTTTTTTAAATATCATTCACTCATGTTTAGGTTTTTATATTATTGTTTATTTATCTTATTTCATTCTCTCTTCATCAATAAAAAAAAATTAGGGTTATTTATGAAATGTTTAAAAAGATTGAGTATAAAATATCTTTTCCCAGCTGTAATTCTACTCCGAACTTCAACCATTTCAATTATGTTTGATATTTTTAACATAAGATATATGTAAGCGTCACAAAACTCAAGCGTTTTATTTAAATTTTAAATATTTTCTAGTTACACTAAAAATTAACACGACATACACATGAAACGTATAACATTTTTGTCATATATATATATATATATATATATATATATATATATATATATATATATATATATATATATATATAATAACCAGTAAATTCTCTTCAATTTACACCATAAGTTTAGTTCTTTCTAAGGATTCAAATACAAATAAAAAGTTTCATAATTAAAATATAAGCAAACTTTAATTGTTTTATAATACAATCTAAAACTATTATCCAGTTAACTTAATTTTATTTCAAAATAATTGTTTTATCCTTATTAACCAAATTCAATGGAGTATAATTTCATAAAAAAGTTAGCTTTAAATTAAATTAAATGATATTAACTAACTTTTTTTTAACGAAGATAAAAGTTAATTAATTAACTTTGAATATAGTCGAGTACGTATGAAGTTGAAATGTGAAGAAGTAAACAGAAGTTGTTAAAAAAAGAAGGATAAGAATATGTTTTTAAAATTGAAAGAACTTAAAGGAAAAGCAAAACAAATAATAATGATAATTGAAGAGGTTGACGCGAAGAAGTTAAATTGTCATTGCATTAGGCATGTCAATTAACTGTAACCAATACAAAGGGGCATTGGATCTAAAAAGTAGTTTGGCCACTTAGAAGGATAAGATTGAAAATAGAGGCCAATCAATTTGTGCACAAACTCACAAAACATACTAATCATGCTACTATCATCTTTAAGTACGATACAACTCTTATCCTCCCCACAGAAAATGATGTATGACTCCCCAATTTAGTGTCGTGGGTCAATTAATCTTTAAGAATTCATTAATATCATATTTTGTGGCTATGCATGTGAGATTTATCACTAATATCAGGAAAATGTATGCAAATATTTGAAGTTTGATACCCATCGAATCTCTATTTAATCACATCCATCTATTTTCAATATATCATAAATACAAGTTAAATTGAATAAATATAAAAAGTTTGAAATAAGATATAAAAGCTACACAAAACCCATCCCAACCCTAATATGTTCATGCAATAATTCCACAGTACAGTTTGCCATATAGGATATTGAACACGGGACTAGGCTCGTGAGTGATTATTGTTATCTAAACACAAGGCAATAAGAGCACCACATGAAGAAAAGATGCTCTCTTATTATTGGAAATATTCTTTTAACTTTGGTTGAATGAATGGGAAAACTA